CGACCACTCCATGGGCGTGCCCAAGATTAATTGAAAAATTACTTTGAATAATTGTAAAAAATAAATGAATTATTTCAGTGTTATAAAGTGTTATGTGTATGTAAACAAAAGTGACCTCTTTTATCACACACTATATTAGAACTGACTGGCCTACATTAAAAAGGGTTTTAAAAAATTCACCATTTTTTTAATTTTTAAAAATTACAAAAGAGAAAAAGAGTTTTTAAAACCGTCTAAGGTATGTTAAATAGATGAATAAAAATATTAATATAAAACTTACAGCTACTTGTTACAAATCCAAATCAGATTCAGAAGATGAACTTTCAGAACCAAGATTTATAATAACTGGCTCGATCATTGTATCAGTAATATTGTCCAGCTTCCACATTTTTTCCTCTTCTTTAATAGTGTGATTTACTGCCTTTTCCCAGTTTTCAGGTTTTACATTATTTACGGCCTCCAAAAACAACTGTTTAACATCATGAATTTTAAAAGTGGTATTTTTTCTTGAAACTTCACTCTTTATCTGTGCCCATACCAGTTCAATCGGGTTTAATTCACAATGATATGGTGGGGATCTAAGTACTGTCATTCCACGATTTTTGGCAATTTCATCAATTTCGTATTTTTTAAATTTTTCTGTATGAAGGGCACACAACGAATAAAGTTCCTTTCTTATAGATCCGGGATGGTACGTAATATTTTTGAACTCAGCCAATTCTGCAAGTCTTTTTTTAACCACTTGGTTGTGGGCAGTCCTTATATAAGTCTGGAGTGATAACTTGCATTATCCATTACTATTACACAATTCTTAGGAAGAAGATCTATCATTTGTTCCAACCATTCTTGAAAGACATCAGCGTTCAGGTCTTCATGGTAGTCACCGGTACGAATTGATTCAAAAGTTAATAAACCACCTTCAACAAAACCGTCTGAACTGCCAATGTGTACTATTATCAGCCTGCGTCCCTTTCCTGATGGTGGGTTTAAACCAGTAGATAAGTTATTTACAAAAGCGTGCATTTGACTTGTAACAGTTTCATCCTGCTAAAATTTATTTGGTGTATGACCCTCGTTGATCCATGTTTCATCAAGATAAAATATTTTTCTTTTTTGGTTTCTCATTTCCTTTATGGTTCTTAGAAAATGTCTTCTCCATATGACAATATCGCTTCTTTCTAATAAAATAGACTTTCTGGGATTCTTTTTCCAGCGGAAGCCTATTTCTTTTAAAAGTTTCCATAACGTACTTCTACTCATTTCTGGGTAATCCTTATCATCTCGAACTGAGACAAGAACTTTATCCAATGTTGGAAATTCTTGTCTAAAGAAGAATTCATGCACTTTCCGTCGAAGTCCCTCTTTAAAATGATATTCTATTTGAAATTTTGGTTTCCCTGGAGCATTACGTAGCATTTGAAAACTACCACATTTCTCTTCTTTAATAACTCTGTCGACTGGGTCGACAGAGTTAGAAATGAGGAGGTCCTTAGACGGCTGAACCAAACAACACAACTGGTCAATATAATAAAGAAACGCAAGCTGGAATACTTCGGTCATATTATGAGACACCCTGAAAAATATGATCTTTTACATCTGATCATTCAGGGAAAGATCCAAGGTAATCGTGGTCCTGGTAGAAGAAGAACATCATGGCTGAAAAATCTAAGGCAATGGTATGGAAAATCAACTACATCGTTATTTAGAGCTGCTGTCAATAAAGTCACGATAGCGAATATGGTAGCCAACATGATATCCAACGATCGATAACGGTCATGGAACTAGAAGAAGAAGAATAACTCTGTAAATCGTAGATTTCCCAACACCAAGTGTACTGCTAACTAACTCAACGGTTTCATCAACACTTTCACATAAACGTTTGTCTGTAAATGATTTAAACCAATTAAATATTAATGTTTTTTCATTAACTGTTAAAGGACCAATTTTTCGGCGTTTACACGGCACTTCCAAATTTTCCATAACACTCGTATACACAATAAACTGCACCTTGCAACTGAAGTACCTACTTTTAGTGAACTGTTAAGAATTTTGAATACGCCACTTGGACCTTCCTACAAAATGGAAAAACCCACTATCACATTTTCTGTGGAATAAGTTTAGAAGGTAATTATCTAGTCAATTACTGTCGTAGATTCCTGGAATTAAAGAATTAAATGTTTGATTGTTGAAACCCTTACTTCGTGGAATGCACTCATTTCAGATAAAATAAAACGTTTTATTTTATCTAAAGAATTAAACTTTATTTTGCAAATAGGTAGGTACTTATTAAACTTTTATTGGTTATATATAACCAATAAAATAAACATCTTACATTTCTTGCAAATTCATTAGTACCTGTTAACCTCCATCACTCCGACACTGGCAACCTTATTTAGGGATTAGTAACCCTCACAACTATTGTATTCTATTCTGCTCCAACCTTTATACCTGGTGGTCATACTCAATTTAAAATTGTTTTTCTATATACTTCTGTAAACTTGTTGACAAATATCTGTTTTTCATTGAGTCACCCGTATCAACAGTTTAGGGATTTGCATACATAATTTATTGTTTTATTACTCTCTCATACATAAAAATACACTATACCACTCCGGTACGGCGCATCCCATTTATTGATAGGGGACATCCTATGGTTAAATAGGACAGGTGTAAATAAAATATAACCAAATTAACACTCTTGGATTACCAGATTACCAACAGACACACAAACACGTGTATACACACACTAATACTTTTTATACACAATGGCCACAGTGGGCAACTGCTAGAAAATGGCATGTGTCAGATGAGATGTGTTGTTCAGACCATCGACACATCTCTGTTGAAATAGCAGTTAATGAGCCTATTAAAGAAATTTATTATTACTTACGCAAAACAAACTGGGAGACATATCAAGTAAACCTGAAATAGGGTTAAAAGACGTACACTGGACCTAGACACGGCTTCCGAACAATTTGAGGAGGTTGTCATCTCAGCGTTATAAGACAATTGCTCAGAGTTAGTAATACATTTTAACATAAAATACACTGGTGAAATGTCAACCTTGCAAATCAAAGGCCGTAAGTTTAATTTAGCTATGAAAAGCCACGAAAATTTAATTTCGTCAAAATATCCAGTGCGTAAAGCGATTTCTGTAAAGCTCTGAGAAATCTAACAAAGAACTGAGATGGGCAAAAAGAGAATTGTGCAGAAGACCGTGGGAGGAGTTAAAACGCACTACAGAAGTATCAACACTTCATATTTTTTTCTCAAATAGAAAGAAAGTTATCTCAAAGATAAGTATTCCCTCACTTCAAAATAATCCACTTACCGTGGTTTAAATTTAGCATGATCTCTATTTCAAAAATTGAATTGCAACTGGCTTACTTATGACATATGACTATATTCAGATAAATAACAAAATAAAATCGACTTCTCTGTAATATATACCATAAAATAAAAATACAACTCCTATTGAATAAAATTGGAGGCGCTACGGTCTGCTGTTGATACCTGAAAAAAATAAATATGGGCGATACTAGATTGGTTGATGGCAAAGGACGATCTATTGGTCAATACCCAAACACCGGCGAAGAGTAATCAATACTTAGTCTAGGTTAGGAGGGTCCGATCGTTCACGACTCAATACGGACAAGAAACGGAAAGCGATCAATCAATACTTGCCGACCGAAGAATGCTTTGATTTTTGATCAAGGCCTGGGTTAGGAGCTCCTACTAGATCTGTGCTCCAGCTTGAACTACCGAAATAGTTGGCCTTTGATCAATACTCAAAGACCCGGGGTTGAAGTTCTTCCATGTCCTCGGTTTTCCGTTGTGTGTAACGTTCTGTATATGTCGTTCAGGTGAGGTGCATCTTCAAGGTGTGAGCTCCCTAGAAGGAGAGATTGGGAAGACGAGTGGTTTGCTAAAAAGCAGTAGTCAGTCAGTGTGAGTGTCATTGTGGTGAGAAAGGTTGTTAGCCATGCCGTACTGTGGAGTACCTTCGCGTGTTACCAGCTATACATTTGGGAACGACTCTTTCGGTTGAGCACTTTGCTTGCATATTGTTAGAATCTGCGATATCATAATGCCGTCGCTTCTAGGGTGTTGAAATACTCAACAGGGGTTTTGTGTTGCGTTGGACAGCCGGCGTTTTATATCGTTTCAGGTGTTCCATCTCCAGCGCGCATAGTTGGTAGTGTGGCTTGTCGGTGGGAGAGCTTGCGTATAAAGAGATGGTAAACCGACGGTAAGCGCTGGCGAAGCCATGGTTACAAGGTTTATAGATGCTGTATCTAGTTCACAAAAATGATATTCGAAGTCAGTAACTTAACCTGCTGGATGCTGCAAACAACTTGGTTATCGAAAATAAACTACTATATATAAAATGAACAATTCGCAAAAATACCATTATGTGTCCTTGTTTTTTTTTTAATTACTTGTTCTACAGCGTGCGTTGATTGTTAATCAACTTGGTCAGAACACGTTTTCGTTTAAGACAACTCGATAATGTTGCTCTTAGTTTTGTTTTTTGATTTTAGTTCAATTATTTATCTTTTATTTGGGACTATCGAGGATGCGAGGGTTACTGGGTGTATTTATATTTGCCACAACAGATAGCGAATAACAAAGACTGCCATAAAATATCGGCTTTTTATGTAATTATGATACTTTCTCCGCTAAACGGATATTAGTTGATATACTTACATTATGATATGAAAAAGTTGTCAAATCATTAAAACAATAAATACGAATAAAGGCTTGAACAAAAATGGTTAAATAATTTCAATGTTTTAAAGATGACTTAAAACGCCACCATTTTTATGAAGACACTTTCTTCATATCTTTAAAATTAAACTATTTTTTACTCAACGTCCGTAGATATTGCTGAATGTTTCCAAACAACTTATTCTCTACATTTTAATATGATCTGGAGTTTTGTGGCACAAACGAAGATGTTATTTATTCAACTATAATTAAATACATACAAAAATTCTTACCATTAACAATACTGTAGGTAATAAGAATATGCGCCATACTTCTTGCAGGAAAAGTAAGTACCAATCCAAGACTGCACAACGCTGTTCCAAGAAGAGAAATTTTACGATAGGAAAAGGCACGAATTAAAGGTCCTACTAGCAATCCTGAAAAGTTGACTAGAGCATCTAGAGAACTCATTATAACTGCAGCTCCTGTTGTTTCGATGTTTAGTTCTCGAAGAAGGTCTCCGAACAGGAGTCCAAAGGATTGCTCTATTGATCTCGTACATAACTGAAACAAACAAGATATATAAGATCGTGAGAATATTGTTATTGATTTATCTTATTAAAAAATTGATAAGGTTATGTGTGTATGTGTGTGAGAGAGAGAGATGGCATTAGACAAAGAATCTTTTTGCAGAAAATTGTTATAGGGATGTTAAAATTTTTATTTTAGAATTGTTTATAAACTTGATTAGAATATTATATATATAGATTTATCAGAATAAGATAACAGATTGCTGATGTTAACTGGTAGGCTAATATTGAGATTAATTAAACCTAAATATAGGTTTCGAGTCTGTTCCCTATGATTAGAACAATCGAAAAATAAGTGGTTCAAATCTCCGATAGAAGTATTATTACAAGGACAGAAAGGAGTTTCATAGATTCCAATCCTATGCAGATGCTCTGGAAAGAGGCCATGGTTAAGTTTTAGTTTTAGCCGCGTTATTAACGAAGAATGTACTTTATTAAAGTTAAAATTAAAATTGGGAATATTTTTTGGTAAGCATGGGTGAATAGAAAAGTAATCGTTTCTTGAAGTCTTCTGAACCTCTTTATATTTTGACATCCATCTTTCCCTACCAATACTCCTGATATTAGAAAAAAGATCTTTAAAGTAGTAAAAATTTGTAATTTCGGATATCTCAGATGTATTTTTTGCCGTCATCATCATCATCATCATTAGCCATTTTGCGTCCACTGCTGAACATAGGCCTCCCGTAAATAATTCCATTGCATCCGATCTTGAGCAACTTGAATCCAGTTAGACTGGATGCGCTTTAAATCGTCCGACCACCTTGTTGGAGGACGTCCTCGACTACGATAAGCATCGTGTCTAGGCCTCCACTCTAAAATTTTCTTTGTCCATCTTCCATCTCTGACCCTAGCAACATGTCCTGCCCAGTTCTATTTCAGGGTTGTAATTCTTTCAACTGCGTCCGTCACACCAGTTTTTCTCCTTACTATCTGACTCGAAACTCTGTCCCTGAGTGATACGCCCAACATTGACCTCTCCATCGCTCTCTGTGCCACTTGTATCTTATTAATTACTTTTCTGGTAAGTGTCAATGTTTCTGCTCCATATGTCAGAACTGGAAGTACACACTGATCAAAAACTTTTCTCTTCAAGCACATGGGAATAGCTGATTTAAAGACTTCCCTCAGTTTTCCGTAAGCTGCCCATACCAGTCCTATTCTCCTTTTTAACTCTGTTGTTTGATTGTCTCTTCCCAATTTAATCTCGTGGCCCAGATACTTATAGGAATACACTTGTTCAATTTGCGTGCCATTAGTGGAAATGTTTTTTGCCAGTACCAGGTTGGTCATGTATTGTGTTTTGGAAAAATTAATTTTAAGGCCAACTCGTGCACAAGAGCTCTGAAGGTCTTGAAGAAGTTGGCATGCATGATCTACCTGATCTGCAATAAGGACTATGTCGTCTGCAAACCTCAAGTTGTTCAAAAATTCCCCATTTATATTTAATCCAATATTTTCCCAATTATTTTTTCTCATAGCACTCTGTAATAGGGCGGTGAATAGTTTAGGAGAGATAGTGTCTCCTTGCCTAATACCTTTCTCCGAGGGAAATGTGTCTGTGTCACCATAGTACATTTTTACAGCAGCTGTTGCGCTATCATATATATTTCGAAGAAGAGTTGTGTACCTATGGTCAATACTGCACTCTGTAAGAGCTCTTAACATGGAGCTATGCTGGACTGAGTCAAATGCTTTCTCAAAGTCTACAAATATTAATATCAATGGCTTGTTGTATTCTATAAATTTCTCTATCAAGGATTTTATTACTTGTAGGTGGTCATTTGTTCCAAAGCCACTCCTAAATCCGGCCTGCTCTAGAGGTTGATGAAAATCTAGCTTAGGTCCCAGTCTGTTAGTAATTATTCTCATAAAGAGTTTATATAAATGAGATAATAAGTTGATAGGTCTGTAGTTGCCAATTTCTGTTACATCTCCTTTTTTATGCAATATTATCATAATGGCATTATTCCATTTTTCTGGCGTATTTCCTTCAAGGAGGCAGGCATTATAAAGGGTTTTTAAAGCCTTTATGACGCATTCGCCTCCTAGTTTTATCATTTCACTTACAATGCCATCTTCTCCAGGTGTTTTGTTGTTCTTCATACCTTTTAATGCTGACTTAATTTCCTCTTCGGTTATATCTGGAAGTTCCTCTGACCCTTGATTTAGTATTGCTGGAATTTCTACTTCGGGAATGTGATCATCTCGACTATATAATGTTCTATAGTACTCTTCGATGATTTTTAGTATCTCTTGTTGTTCATGTATGACATGTCCTTGATTATTTTTTAACTTATAAATATTCCTCGTTCCTATTTTCAACTTTCGTTTTAGAACTTTTAGGCTTTTGTTTTGTTCTACGGTATCAGTTATTTCCTTAGTGTTAAAGTTCCTTATGTCTTTCCTAATGGCTTTTGAAATGGTTTTGTTTAAATTCCTTAGCTCTGCAATGTTCGTTGTATGCTTTTCTTGCATTTCCCTTCTTTTTGCATTAGGTTTCTTGTGTCTTGTGTCTTTTTTGCCGTACTGTCCACTAATTCGTTTCCAATTACTCCATTGTGTCCTTTAACCCAGAGTAAAGTAACTGATTTGTTTGTGAATTTTAGATCATGTAATAATTTTTTAATTGATCAGATTATAAGCGAAGATTATAACATATTACACGAGATGAATATGTTGCCCTTAGACAACAAGTGAAGCAAAGAAAAAAACTAGAGAAAAACGAATAATGTGACAGAACGTGCAGAGATATGCATATATTTATCATGAGACAAGTGATGGAAAAAAACAAAGCCTTGTCCTGCTATAAATATTGATACAAGGTATTTAACTAAAAAATTAACTACTGGTTTGATTTGAAAAAATTTTAAACACATTATTACTAATATAATAAACTACAAACTACAAAAAAATATTTTTATAATTATTGGATTACGACGGAAGAGATTTAGTTTCGATTCAGAACAACTGCGTATGTCGCTCTGATGATACCTAATGAAGTTGAAATACGTATAAGCGGCTGGCGGATGCCCTGAATCGAAATTAAATCTGATATCATCTTTCTGTAAAAAAAAAATATTCAAAATGGCCACCATTTGCCTGAATGTAGTACCGAACTAACGTATCTAAATGAGATAAAAACTAGAAAGATGGAATACTTGGGGCACATTGTGAGAGGTGAGAAGTACGAACTTTTAAGAAACATCATGCAGGGCAAAATTAAGGGCAAAAGAAGTGTGGGAAGAAGAAAAATATCGTGGCTTCGTAATCTACGTGAATGGTTCGGATGTAGTTCGATTGAACTTTTCAGGCGCGCTGCTAACAAAGTCGCAGTGGCCATGATGATTTCCAATCTCCGCTAGGAGTGGCACGAGAAGAAGAAGAAGTACCGAAGTCTGTTAGGCCATTCATCGATCGCTGTACGGATGACATCTGTAGGGAAATTTTCAACAGCTTTCACCAGCACCTTTTTCAATGACTCAACATTATGGTGTCATCTTGTAAAGGCCATATCCTCTAAAACTGACCACAATTTGTAATCGAGTGAATTGGATCTGGGCTGTCTGGCGGTCAATCGTTACTACTAATAAATTCGGGTACATCCTTTTCAAGTCACTGTTAAGTAATTTTGGCTTTATGCACAGGTGTAAAGTTCTGTTGAAATATCCATGATCTATTTTGAAACATAGTGTGATTTATGGGATTCATTAAATTTGTTAAAATGTCCGGTTGATAATTTCTGGCTGCTGTTTTAACGCTCTTTTTACAAAAATGTAATGTAAAGTGTAAAGTGACGCCTTTATAGGACACTCCCCACCAAACCATCACTGAGGCGGAAAAATGACCTCGTTCGATCCTTGGCACCAGTTCCTTGTGACCGTGCATAAACTCTACCATTTTACCTATTACAAAGTTCCTCCATGGTAAAAATGTTTTCATCTGTATAAAGGATTTCTTTGTAACGCTTTTGTACGATAGTACAACGACAACAACCGTCTTGATTTTTTTCATGTTTTGTTTTAATGCAATGGTACGGCGTTGTCCTGTTTGTCGTTAAAAAGTAACAACTCTTGTTTAATAATGCAACTCATGGTTCTCGGCGCAACATCCATTTCCCGAGTCATGATTTTTTGTTTACTGACAGGATTTCAGTTAATTCTTGACCTAACTGCGTTATTAACCTGTGGCGTATGAGCCACGCGAGGTCGGCCGGATCTTTTACTGTCACTTACTCCCTCCCATAGAAACTACTCCCATAGTAACTCCCTCCATAGTAATATAAATATATCGCTATAGTAATGGCTCAAACTAGACTGGAATGTTTTGACGCGATCATGTCAATTGTCAGTAAACATTACTTTTAGATGGGTTTAGTTTGTCAATCGTACAAGCCGCGTTTACACGTGTATCATTTATTATTTTTCTTTCTCTTTATAAGCAACTCTGCTTGTTCATTGACGGATTAATACCTCAATGGAAGGTTGTCACTCCATCTTTTGCGCGGTCGTCGATTATTCTTCTGCCGATTGGTAACTTATCTCTTGCTATTTCGAAGACACGGGTCCCCTCTATTCTGCTTATGTGGTTATTCCATTCTTTTTTTCTATTTTTGTGTATTCGTTTATACACTGTACGTTACATTTTCTTCTTATGTCTTCACTTCTCCGTATCTTATCGTTATACGTTATCGTTATCGTTATCCTTATACGTTATCTCTCAGCGTATTTACTGTAATTCTTCTCAGTACTCTCATCTCTGCCGTTCCCAGTAGCTTTTGCGTTGTGGCTGTATCGGGTCTTGTTTCTGCGGCATATATCAATATTGGTCTTACACTGGCATTGTAAATTCTTGACTTCATCTCAGTGTTAATGTGTCTGTTGCTTTTTAGGCTTGATCCCTCAGTTCTTTGTCCAGATCTCCATAGCTAGAGAGTGTAAATCCCAGTTATTTTATTTCCATTACTTGTTCAATACTGATGCCATCAATTTCTATTTTACATCTGGTTGGTTCTTTGCTGCTAATATTGTTTTAGTTTTCTGAGATGAGATTGTCTTGTTAAATTATTTTGCTCTTATGTTAAATCTGTGGACCAGTCTTTGCAAACTCTCTTTAACTTGGACTAACAATATTTTGTCGTCTACGTAACAGAGTACTTTTAATTCTTTCTTTCCCATTCTGTTATTATCCTCTTACTTTGTTAAAACTTTTGATGATTTCATCCATGATCCTTTATTAGCACTTGCAAACAGAGTATTTTTAATTCTTTCTTTCCCATTCTGTATCCTCTTAGTTTGTTAAAGTTTTTGATGATTTCATCTATGATCAAATTAAAAAGCATGGGGCTTAATTAATCCCCTTGTCTTATTCCGCTGCCTATTTCTATAGGTTCTGTAAGTTGTCCATCTATTCTGAGTTCAATTTTGTTGTTTTGGTTTCGATAGTTTTTATATTTTTTATATTTAGGGGAACTTCTCTAGTATACAGAACATGGAATATATCTTTGAGTCCTATGTCAAACACTTTCTTTTGGTCAAACAGGCACAGAAATCCTGTCTCCGGCTTCTATATACCATGAAGCTTCGCCTATCTTCAAAAATTTTAAAGTGTTTGTTTGTCTTTGTGTAGTGTATTGTTATGTCCCATTTTATATTTATGACATTCTAATCTTGTCGGATAGGCCGCAATTGACTAAATGCCTCTGAAGATGATCTAGTGATCGAAAGTACTTGGGCAAGATTAAATTAATACTGTGCTCAATATTTGCCTTGTATATTATCAAAGTTTAGAAATTATTTGCCTTTTAGATGTATTCTGCAGAAAATACGAGAGGAAATGTTGTATTATGACACTCGATATGGTAGGACTTTAATATATTTCTAAAACTACTTTATTTGCACACTTAAATATATTACTAGTAATAAAAAATACTTACATTAACAATACTAACACCAATAACCACAACCCATCCCCAACCCCCATCAGGTGGTACTTGTTTCTTTTCTTTGGACATGTTGGCTGAAGTCCTGCAAAAAGTTATGTATTAGGTAAGACACATAATATCTGTTAGTTTATAGAGCACTGTCCAATATATTAATAAATATTATATAATACCAATATAAGTAATATACTTCGGCATAATCCTGATATTAGTTGACACGATCAATCAATTAGTCATAGAAAAGATAGAAATGTTTACTTTCAAACCTTATTGACAAAAGGTCAAATCCCAAGTCAAATAGGTTTATAAAAATATTCTGTAATGGATAGTTTTAATATATAAAAGTGCATTTTATCTTTCTAATGATAGCCAAAACGACTATGATGTTGTTTATTTACGGTATTACCCAAAATACTATAATATTTATCTTCCGTTGAATACTACCATAACAGACATTATGATTAGCGAATGTTTTTATGTTATTTTTAATTATACGGATTGAACTATTAATGATAGAAACAAACGAAACACTAAAAGATAACCGCTCCTGGAGGTACAAAGTTAATTCGGCCGATATATCACCCGTTGACGGTAAACATCGATTTCAAACAAATGCCGCCTTTATTCCAAAATAATTGGCATGTTGACTGTATTGAAATATAAACATAATTTTTATGCAAAACGGAAAAAAATCAATATTTTTTTTATTTTTGAGTGTATTGAAGGTTTATTTAATAAATTCAACATAATGACAACCAACCAGCACAATCAGAATAGAGAAAAAGCCCATGTGACATTTTTAAGGGGTCATTTGACTCATCACGAATCACATATAAATCAATACTACAATATGTAATAACAATTTTGGAATCTATGCCGTCAATTTTTATTGCCTTTTATATTTACCTCTCAATGGGGGGAGGGACATTTTGGCCAAACATATCGTCCCTACCATTTCCAACTATAGAATGTGAAAAATCGGGTTTTTCAGATTCGATACCTTGTCCTTGCATTAGACATGACACACCGTGTAGCAAAATATCGAAATTGTAGCTTGATAAGGAACGCGGGAAAATTTTGTTTAAACCATCGAATATAAACATTTTGCTTTTTTGTTTTGGTCAAAATATCGAATATACTGCAAACTGATGAAAATGAAATATTCGATACTTGTGTTTTGTATAAATATAACTAAAGGCATATGTACAACACAAAATGACGAATGTGTCACATTCATTAGTTTCAGTGTTGTAATTGATACAGTTATTCAAATTATAATCTGCAAACTGTCGAAAATACTAAACATTATTGACAAGAACAAAACGCATGTGTTCACAATTGTGTGAATTATTGCTCCAAGAAGTTCTTTAGGCGAGGAACTTTATCATTTTGTTTTTATCGGTTTCTCATTATCTGATTATTCAGTTATAGCTGGGTATAGCTAAACCAGAAACAGTGATTTTGTCAAAACGAGAATTATTTAAAAAAACATTAAATAATGCTACCTTTGGGACGTCGTCCATACAGTGTAATTCTCCTTTCTATCACAAACACATCGAAAGAAAAAACTTTTTATGATTTGACCATTTATTATTTAAGAGAAGGGAGCGTCCAGTGTTTCATATAGGATGAAACCGAGGGAAAACGCGGTGGTACTGAAATTGCTACATATATATTTAAATGGATCATGTTTTACCCTGATATTGAACATGTCAAAAGTGATGTCCGATAATTGCGGAGGACAACAGAAAAACTTTGCTTTTTCTGCCATGTGTCAATATGTTGTTAATTGTCACCCAAATTTAAAAACAATTGACTATGTGTTTTTTGTGATGTTTGGAGAGGTCTAATGAAGGAGGCCAAGGCCCGGCTTGGGCTGTAGTGCCATTGGATGGATGGATGGATGTGTTTTTTGTACAGGATCACTCAAAAGTGGAATGCGATTCTTTCCATTTAAAAATTGAATCTAAAAAATTCCCCTGTATAGGTACACCCTTGAAGGATGGGCACAAATCATAAGACTTGCACGCACTAAGCCATGCCCGTTTGAAGAGACATACCTACTTCATAACAACTTCTTAGATTTCAACCAAAGAAAGGTGACATTTGCACTAGAAAATAAAATAAAACCAAAGAACAAGCAAAATCAATATGAAAAAGAAAATGAAGTAAAAGATGAGAAGCAAACAAGTAATAGAAATACTAATTTTAAATATAGTAATGGTATATTGTACCAGTATCGGCAAAATGAAAATAAATTTTTATGAAGACTAGAATTGATGGAACCTTTTTATCTCTTGAAACCAAACAAAATAGTATAAACGTGAATGTGACCAAAACTTATTACCTAGGCCATACCACCAATATTACCAATATTTACCAATATGTAGTACTACCAGAGTCTTTCAGAACCTGACGCAACTGAAGATAACTGAATGTGTTAAAATTATACCAATATAAACTCACGAAAATGCCACATTCGCAATTTTGAGCAATCTTACCAAAACCAATCGTTGATTATCACAAAAAGCAAAGTATCGATGTGGTTTTTTGGTAAGAAAAAACAGTAAACAGTTTAATTTTTTATCATTCTAACAAGGATTAAACATTAAATATAAAAAATTTAAAAAATTTTCCGTTTGTCAAGGCTCTGATTTAGGATTCTCTAAAAAAATTATCTTACGCTTCTGAAAAGTACTATTTGTCACATTTGATAATTGGAAATGGTAGGGACGATATTTGTACAGCATTTATAACTTAAGTATGTAATACAAAAATAATGACCTGCGATCTAATGTCGAACAAAAATATAAAATTTTGACCTCATTTTCGGCAATATGCCAATATGAAACTCACTAATTTAAATTTAGTTGCATACAATAATAACATTTTGGACATGCCGTACTGTTTTCACGATACATGTGCTTATTAGAGAAAAATTAATTTCCATATGATAAGTGGGATATTACGATCAAAAATTTCTGTACGGCAATAATATATTTTGTTAATATTAACATCAATTATCAACAAAAACAAAATGCCGTTAAAAAAATGGTTCTAAATGAATTTAAAAGTATTATAGTCCAGGTTGTGATCACGCTCCCGTAGAAAATGTTTCTGATTCATTTTCTTTGCGGATTCCTATTCAAAAATGTCAAAATCAATGATACACTGATTTGTTGAATGAGGCAATTAAACAAGATATGTTTCGACCTGCAATTTGTAGTTTGTACAATTTAGATAATAACTCTTTGGACGATTCCATGTGTTTGGTACATTCGAAAAATATGTGATTTAGGTCTCCCAGAGGGGCTTTGAAATACTTCTATTTTAAATAGATGGGCTGGAAAGTTTCTGTATACCTGATTTACTACAAGAAGGCTTTCGATAGGGTCAGGCATGAACAAATGATAGAAGTGCTGAAGGGGACAGGGATTGAGAGAAAAGACTTAAAAATAATAGCTAACCTGTATTGAAATCAATCAGCGGTGCTCCGAATAGATGGAGAATATACATATCAGGTCAAAATCTTAAGAGGAGTGAGACAAGGGTGCATAATTTCACCAGTGATCTTCAATCTGTACTCTGAGCACATTTTTGAAGAGGCTCTAAAAGGTATTGATGAAGACATCTCAATAAATGGAGTTAAGCTCAATAACCTGCGGTATGCAGATGATACAATAGTGTTTTCCAATACCATAGAAGGGCTCCGAAACTTAATGAACAAGATAATGAAAACAAGTAGAAAATATGGACTGGATATAAACACCAGCAAAACCAAGCTAATTATCATCAGCAAAGAAAATATAACTGAAGCAAATCTGTATGTGAACCAAATGAGAATTGAACGTGTCTCACAATACAACTACTTGGGAACTATAATCAATGAGTTGTGGGACAATACCCAAGAGATTAAAAGGCAAATAAGGCATCGGAAAGGCAAAGTTCATTTTTGACTATTAGCTCTGTGTTCAAGAGCCATGACCTCAGCCTACAAACAAAAATAAGGCTCCTTAAATGTTAGTGTACTCAGTGCTTCTGTACGGAGTAGAAACGTGGACATTGAAGGCGGAAACTCTATCAAAACTTCAGGCTTTTGAGCGGTGGCTATACAGAAGGATCCTAAAGATACCATGCTCAGACAAAGTCACCAATGAAGAAGTACTGCGGAGTATGAACACAACTGCGGATTTGGTCAATATCGTAAAGGGCCGTAAGCTGTAGTACTTGGGACATATGATGAGAAATCAAGACAGAAACGAGCTACTTCAATGGATTTTGCAAGGTAAAATTGAAGGAAAAAGCGCCCCAGGACAGAAGAATATCCTGGCTCGCTAACCTGAGAGCATGGTATAGAAAGACCTCAACGCAGCTATTTCGTATAGCAACCAACAAAGTCATCATAGCCAGAATGATCGCCAACGTTCGGAAGGAACAGGCACCCTAGGAAGAAGAAGGGCTGGAAAGCAACAATGATGAATTTTAATTCTAGTAATAGTGGAAGCATAGGATTGGGAAGGAGGAAAGGTTAGTTGAGGAATGCTATTGGGCAGAATTGGATGAATTGAATACCAAATAGTGACTGTTCTGAGCATTAGTAATACTTTTATATAAAGTTTCCCAAAAGTTTGTTTTTTAACGGTTTTTCACGAATAACTCCAAAAATTTTTATTTAAGCAGGAAAACTGTTTGCATATAAAATGAAGCTTATGAAACAAAGAAATTCGTTTTTATTAATATCGTCAACTTAATATTAACAAAGTTATAGCTGTTCGAAAAAGTTTTATCCATCGAACACAAAAATCCAAACATATAATGTTGAATAAGTGGAAAAATGTTGAAAAATGTAATGTTAAGTATGACGTCAACAAATTAAATTCATTTGAAATGTGGATGTACCGCCGAATGTTAAGAGTAAGCTGGACCAGCAGAACTACGAATGAAGAAGTATCGAGAGTAATGAACACACGCTCTCGTCTGGTCAATACTATCAAAATTAGAAAGACGTCATATCTAGGACACCTAATGCGTCATAAGGAATTTGAACAGCTCCAGGTAATATTAGAAGGCAAGATTGAAGGTAAAAGGAGCATAAGACGAAAGAAAAAATCTTGGCTAAGACACATCAGATATTGGACCCACACAAGAGGAAATTAATTAATTCATCAAGCCCAGAACAGAGGGAAATTTGCCATATTGATCGCCAACCTCAACAGAGAAGGCACTTAGGAGGATGAAAGCGGAAAAACGATTTTAAAAACTTATCCAAACTTTTTTGTGACCACTGCTACAAATGATTTGCATGAAAATTAAAGTAAATTATAACTAAAATAAAGTCCACTTATATTTTTTGTGACGCAGAGAATAACAAACTCACCCTCGCCAAAACCACCCTGGGTGAAACTATTCGTTGTTCATTTTTCTTCAGTTTTCTTCATTTTTATAAAAACATTCTAGATACATTCTAGAAGTTTAATTGGTTTAGAAAGTTTATTTTTGAAAAATTTAAAGTAAAGACACTATTTTCGAAATTTCTCTAAAATTCCCCCTTTTTTCACAATACCTCTATAACTAAAAAAGATACGTAAAGAAAATTCTGATTTTTTTCTTTCAGGATTTAAGTCCTTTCAGGACAATCCTTTTTAAAACTAAGAGCTTGAAAAAAATGTAATATACACTGTAACATGTACGTAGCTTTTAAAATAGACTATATCTCGTTTAGTTTATAGAAATAAAAAATTAAAATCTTTAGTAAAAAAGCTGTTTTTTCATATTGTAGCATTTTTTTAATATCAGTTTAAGTTGTTGATTTTTTTAAAAACTAAACCTTCTAAACCAATTAAACTTCCAGAATGTTTCAACCAGATGGTTTGGCGGTGGTAAGTTACTTTCTGCGTCACAAAAAATATAAGCGGACTTTATTTTAATTATAACTTAACTTAATTTCCATGCAAATCACTTTTACCAATTGTCATTTTAAAGAGTTTTGTAAGATCTTTAAAAAAGTCCAAATATGTTTTCCATGAAAAGCTTACTGTTTTCCGGTTATTCAACATCATATGTTTGGATTTTTGTATTCAATGAATAGAAGTCTACTTTTGAACAGTCAGAACTTTGTTCATATTAGCTTTACGGTAATAATAAAAAATGAATCTATTTTATATGTTCACTTTATACCCAAACAGTTTTCCTGATAAAGTCTAATTTTTTTTACATCCGTTTAAAAACAAGCTTTTTAACGTGTACTTTTAGTCACGAATAACTCGTAAAATATTTAAAAAAACCTCCAAAGAACATTTTTGTCTTAAAAGATACTATTCTAGTGACTACCATGTTTTTTTTGCTAAACTTTTTACACCCCTGAGTTGGGATAGTAACCACCCCAGATGAGAAGCACATATTTCCATAGGCAATATTTTGATAATTGAGCTATTTTCTACCTATTATTAAAATTTTTAAGCAAATCGGTTGAGTTTACCGAAAGTACAAGCTGAATATAGCTGCAAATGCCAAAAATATTTCGGTTTGGTAGTGTTAGCATGTTTTTATAATGCATATGATGTATGCTTCAAATATAAAAAAGATAAAGCTTTTAAAAAGTAGATTTTGAATATACTATTTTATAAATTCTGCTATTTTTAATTTATATTTGTCTTTTTCGAGATTAATTGCAAACATCTTTTGCAATCTGGCAACTGCGGATTTGAAGATTGCCAAATCTATCCCCTAGTCTATCAAAAGGTAATTGCTAAAAAAATTTCTAATAATTAACTGCAATTAATCTCAACAGAAACAAATATTTACTTATTGTTGTTTTAAATAAATCAAAAATTGCAGAATTCATAACATAATATAAACAAAATGTACTTTTCTAAAGCTTTAGCTTTTTATATTTGAAGCATATAGGATCTACACTATAAAAACATGACAACATCGCTATACCGAAATTTTTTGTTTCATTTTTGACATTTTCGGCTATAATCAGCTTGTACTTTCGGTAAACTCAACCAGCAAATCTATGCATATAAAAAGAATTCTGAGCAGAAAACCGTCATATTATCTTGGACTATATTAAAATAACAACCTTTGTTGACAAAAGGTAATCCTTACTTATATATTTTTATTTAAATAGGTAACCTGTTACGAAGATAATCACAAACAATATTTTTGTTTCAGTGTCGGTAGTGTCCAGAAAAACATTAAGTAAAGGAACTCGGGAATATAGCACATTACCAGCTGTAGCGCTACCACAGGTATTATTTAATTTTTTGGTCGGCAAACTGTTTGATATTTTTGGTAACTATATTTAACTTAAATACCATTGTGAGCAGATAGGTTATAAATATATATACCTTGCAGGTACCTGGCCATTATGCTCCCAATTATCACATTGACCTTCCAGGCAGTGCAGGTGAAAGAGGTTCAGCTAATGTTCAGGTAGTATTACCTGTAACAGAAGGTCATCAGCCACAAGTAGGCATGGTACATCCTATGACACAACAGCAACAGATAATATACACTCAAGCCCCGCCCTCACCTCTGCTTCCACCACCATTCCCAGCATCGTCTCCACCTCCGCTCTCACCAACCCCGTCCCGACCGATCTCACCAACACCATCAGCACCACTCTCATCACCTACGTCAACTCCGCTCTCATCACCTACGACACCCTCGTTCTCATCCCCTCATCTTTTATCACCTACGTCACCTCCGTCACCTCTGCTCTTATCACCTACGTCGCCTCCCCTCCCACCACCGCTCCCAACGTCGCCCCCACCTAATCTCTTACCAACACCATCACCACCGCTCTCATCACCTACGTCAACTCCGCTCTTATCACCTACGACACCCTGGTTCTTATTCCCCCATCTCTTATCACCTACGACACCTCTGCTCTTATCACCTACGTTACATCCCCTCCCACCACCGCACCCAGCGTCGTCCTCTCCCAAGCTCTTACCAGCATCATCATCACCGCTCTTATCACCTACGACCAATTCGCTCTCATCACCTACGACACCCTCCTTCTCATCTCCTCATCTTTTATCACCTACGTCACCTTCGTCACCTCTGCTGTTATCACCTGCGTTACCTTCCCTCCCAGCGTCGCCCTCACCTAAGCTCTTACCAACATCATCACCACCGCTCTCATCACCTACGTCAACTCCGCCCTCATCACCTACGACACCCTGGTTCTTATTCCCTCATCTCTTATCACCTACGTCACCTCTGCTCTTATCACCTACGTTACCTCCCCTCCCACCATTGCTCCCAGCGTCGCCCCCTCCTAAGCTCTTACCAGCACCATCATCACCGCTCTCATCACTTAAGTCTACTTCGCTCTCATCATCTACGACACCCTCCTTCTCATCACCTTACCTCTTATCACCAACTTCACCTCCGCTTTCATCACCAGCGTCACCTCCGCTCTTATCACCAACGTCACGTCCTCTCTTATCACCTACCTCACCTCCGCTTTCATCACCTCCGTCACCTCTGCTCTTATCACCTACGTCACCTCCGCTCTCATCACCACCGTCACCTCCGCTCTCATCCCCATCATCACCTTCGCTCTTATCACCTCCTTCCTCACCTTATCACTCATTTTTTGGAGGATATATGCAAGAGCAGCATTTGAACATAGGTAAGTAAAAAAACGATCATGTGTTTCAAATATAGCCTTAATTTTATTTTTGGGAATTGTGTCGTGTTTCTTACTTCTTTACTTGGACAAAGAAAGTGATTTTGTAATCACAATAATTACAATATTCAGAAAGAGAAAATTAATATAATTTCTTGTGATTTTAAATCTCCCCAATGGCGTGTCTCTTTCGTGCCATTTTGTCTATGTGGGCTGATTTTTCTCAAATGTTTTTAAGAGCTCTATACTACTATACTACTCTTATTTTACTCTTGATTATAATAGCCATTTAGCCTATAATAACAACTGTAATTGATTATGGCAATACTAATATTTTTTTATTTAAATAACCTGTTACAAATGTAGTCACAAACTATATTTTTGTTTCAGTGTCAGTACTGACTGCGAGAATATTAAGTAAAGGAAGTCTAGAATATACCACACCACCAGCTGTAGCACCACCACAGGTATTCTTTTATTTTGTGGTTGGCAACCTATTCTTATATTTTTGTTTGCCATAGTTATTTTAAATACTATTAATATGCTATAAATTATATTATATACCTTGCAGGTACCTAGCCATTATGCTCATATTGGCCATCCACTCGGTGCCGGTGAAAGAGGTTCTGGTTGTGGTGCTTTTCCTATGACTGGAGCTTATCAGCTACAAGTAGGCATGGGACATTCTATGACACAACAGCTGCAGATAGTGCAAACTCAAACTCCGCCACTACCTCCCCTCCCACCACCGCTCCCCCCAACGGCGCCAATGCAGCCCCCACCTCCCTTATCATCACCGCCCCCATCTCCACCGCTATTACCACCACCATCTCCTCCTCCCCCGCCACCACCACTAAACCCTTCTACTTTCACGTCTGCCCCACCACCCCCACCTCCCTTATCACCACCGCCCCCTTCTACACCGCTATTACCACCACCCCCTCCTCCTTTCACGTCTGCACCTCCACCCCCTCCACCCTTATCACCACCGTCCGCTTCTACACCGTTATTACCACCACCCTCTCCTCCTCCCACGCCTGCACCACTACATCCTCCTCCTTCCTCGCCTGCACCACCACCCCCTTCTCCTCCCACGACTACACCATCATCACCTGTTTCTGAAGATCATAAGCAAGAGCAGCAATTGAGTATGCCAAGTAAGTAAAGGCAATTTAAACAATTACAATGTGTTTAAAACATTACTTTTATTTTTGTGAATAATGTCCTATTTCTTACTCTATTGCTTTGACATGGAAAGTCATTTGATAGCCGTAATATTCCGAAAGTAGATTAATACGATTTCTTGCGACTTTGAATCTATAAAATTTACGTGTTTCTTTACACGTCACATCATACGTTTTTCTCTTGAATGATTTTGGCTATATAGACACATTTTTCGCAAATTAATATATTATGTCACATTTTTCTGACCTCTTACCTGACCATCGTGCATCCTTACAGAAGCCGAATTCGTCTAAAGAACACCTCATTCCATTACCAGTCCCACAGAATGATTTCTCTATATAAGAGCAAACGGTTACACCGATGTTTAGCTGTGAGAGGTAGCACCCAACCTGGGCAATAAGACAAAAGGCCAAACTGTCTTATTCGGCGATATACCATATGCATACCAACCATCCTTAGATGCTCTTCAAACCACCGATTTGTGATGGCTAGAGTACTACTCTCTTTTCTCTTGAAAATTATCCACGCCAGAATACACTCTAAACTGGAGCTGGATATTAGTGACACTCAATATGGGTTCCGCAATGGTATGGGTACCAGAGAGGCATTATTCTCCTTCAATGTGCTGACACAGAGATGTTTGGATGTTAACCGCCCTCTTTACGTCTGTTTTATAGACTACAATAAAGCGTTTGATAAAGTAAAACATGATCGACTCCTGGAAATTCTAAAAAATAAAAACCTAGATGAAAGAGATTTAAGGCTAATAACACACCTCTATTACAATCAGCGAGCAATAGTAAGAATCGAAAAAGAAACATCTGAAGAAATGGAAATAAAGAGAGGAGTCAGGCAAGGCTGCATTCTATCACCTCTATTATTTAACGCCTATTCTGAAGAGGTAATTCGAGAAACTCTGGAAGATGAAACAGTCGGCATAAGAGTAAATGGAGTCTTAATTAACAACATCAGATATGCAGATGATACAGTAATAATAGCCGATAGTTTACAAGACCTGGAAAGACTCATGAACAAAATAGTCATGTGTAGTAGGGAGTACGGACTCTCTCTTAATGTCAAAAAGACGAAGTTTATGAAAATTTGTAAAAACAACTATAATACTAACGAAATCTTGATAGTAGATGGCCAGCAGATCGAAAGAGTAAAAAAGTACACTTACCTAGGAACACTTATAACAGAAAATAATGACTACACGGCAGAAATCAAAGTCAGAATCGAAAAAGCACGTTCTAATTTTATAAAAATGAAAAAGGTCCTATGTGGCAAAGATCTAACATTAGCTCTTAAAGTACGCCTAACAAAATGTTACGTATACAGTGTACTATATTATGGAGTGGAATCATGGACGTTAAATCTAGATACCATGAGACGACTTAACGCCTTTGAAATGTGGACCTATAGAAGAATTATGAGGGTTTCCTGGGTAGATAGAGTTACAAACAATGAAATACTGAGAAGAATAGGCAAAGAGAAGGAAATTGAACTTACAATTAAAGAAAGAAAGCTACAGTATCTCGGACATGTGATGCGGGGCGATAAGTATGGCATCCTGCGACTCATAATGCAAGGAAAAATAGATGGCAGAAGAAGCATCGGAAGAAGACGAATTTCATGGCTGAAGAACCTGAGAGAATGGTTTAGATGCAGCTCAAAACAACTATTTAGAGCTACTGCCTCAAAAATTAAGATAGCTATGATGATTGCCAACCTCCGTAGCGGAGATGGCACCTGAAGATGAAGAAGAGTACTACTGAAGCTGACTCTTGGAGTCAGAAATCTCAATCGATGATCTTGTTTGTGTGTGGTCCAAGTCACTTAGCTGGGACACTTTGTGAAATTTAAGCACTCTGGAAACTTTGAGCAATGAAAAAAGGCTTTTCAATCCACCTTAAAAACTTAACAGTTAAACCTGAAAATCTTATCACTTATTGTTCATGGCAAGATAAGTCGATATGTAAAAAAAAAATTAATGAATTCGAATCAACATACGTAGGTGTTTACCTTTTTTGTCATTCAGTATGTACCTACGCTAATCTCCAAAATTGACGCTACACCTTAAAACTAAGCTAAGGGTACGGACGGTACGTACGCTCCGCACAGTTTTACTGATTCGATCAGTACAGGGAGGACAGTCGGTCGGTAGGAACCACTCTCGTTTATCTTTTAAGCTATACAGACGTCTATTATCAATACTAATAACTCAACTGAAACGCCGGAACGTCCATACCGATCACTGCGCACTGTACGAGAACAGCTGATAAGTTATCGGTACGTCATTTCGGGATGTCCTGAAAATCTTTCTTTCGGATTTTTCGAGGACGACGGAGAGTGCGGATCGTCCTGCCCCGACCCAGTACGTGCTAAGCTTAAATGAACTATAACTTTTAAGTTACTTTTTCTTCTGAACCGCTGATTGGACTTTGATAATTTTCTTTGACATTATAGGTCTATTTCAAAGGAATTACTGTACTAATGTTTTCTGAGAAGTATAAACTATATACGCGTTGTAAAAATAAAGGAGTGTTTTTGATCTTATTTTGCAACACCCTGTGGAGTTTATTAGAAATAAATAAAAAATTAGATGTAAGAAAACATAATCTAAGTCATCTTTAAGAAGTTCCCTCTCTTAATGAGTTACGAGTAAAATCACAAACTATATTTTTGTTTCAGTGTCGGTAGTGTCTGAAGGAACATCAAGTAACGAAAGTCGAGAATATAGCACACCACCAGCTGTAGCACCATCACAGGTAATCCTTTATTTTGTGGCCGGCAACCTGTTTGAAATTTTTGGTCACCATATTTATTTTGAATACCATTGATAAGCAGATATGTTATAAATATTATATATACCTTACAGGTACCTAGTCATCATGCTCCCAATTATCCCATCGGTCATCCACGCGTTGAGGGTGAAAGTGATTCAGGTGATGAAACATTACCTGTAACAGGGGAACATCAACCAAAAGTAGGCATGGCAGATCCTATGACACAACAGCAACAGATAGTAAAAACTCAAACTCCGCCTCTACCATCGCTGTCACATCCAACCCGACCTCCGCCAACACATCATCGCCCTGTTTCGACAAGATATATGGAACGGAAGCATTGGAGTTTGCAACGAAAGCATTGGAGTATGCAACGGAAGCATTTGAGTATGCAACGAAAGCATTGGAGGATGCCACGTAAGTAAAAAAGACCTTTTAAACAATCCAAATGTGTTTAAAATACTGTTTTAATACTATTTTTGTGAATAATGCCGTATCTCTTACTTTTTTATTTGATGGATGACTGTGACAAAGAAAGTAATTTTATAACCACAATATTCAGAAAATGCAAATTAATACAATTACTTGTTATGTCAAATCGCCAAAATTGATGTTTCTCGCTACATATCATATCACATGTTTTTCTTTATTATCATTTTCTCTATATGAAATGCACATTCTGGCAAATACTGTAAACAATTCTAGATTGGTATTTTTGAATGTCCCATTGAAGAAAAAAAAAGTTAAAATTGAGAAAAATACTTAAAATAAAATTGTGCAGAGGGATATACAGGGTGATTCATGAGGAACTACTCCTACCTCGTATGAATGGAGGCCCCTGTGAGGAATAAGAAATGACCATCAAAAAATGTCTGCTCCCATTATTGAATAATATATAATGCGAGTTGTGAATTTTGACTGAAATTTTTGAAATTTTGAACGGTAAGTTCGGTGTATTTCATATTTTGGTCAAACGTTACAGTACTACCACCTAATCAACTGATTTATTCGAACTAGAAAAAAATCAGGTACGAACTTGTTAGTTCTAAACATCTCATTTAGTTTATATAATAACTAAATTTACTATCAAATAATATTTATTTATATTTTCATAATTTCATATAAATATAATTAGTAACATTTTAAAAATTTTCATATTTATAAAGTCACAGCAGAAGAGTTCATTTGTGTACCTAACGGGGGAGTGGTAGTTTGGTATACAAAATGTCCAGACTGATAATAATTTGATATTTTGGTTTTTGAAATGTTTCCTAATTTTTTTTTATTTAAAAATACAGAAACATAGTATGAAGCTTAGCGCTAATCTACAATACCGCCTACTGTAAAACTTTTTTTAATCGTGTGTCAGTTTGCCAAACTTTTAATTTATAGTCAGATTTGATTTTTTTTTAATTAAAAATGAAGTAATCGTGTGCAGAAAAAATACATATAGTATTTTAATTTCCTATTTGTCTAATTTATAAAATTCTTCATCATCAATATCATCATTGGTGTTACAGCCCTATAAAAGAGTCTCGACCTTCTCAAGTCAGTTCTATCCATTGTCAACTGTTGCCAGTTTGCTGCGTCTATTTTTCTACCATTTTCATCTACACCATCCCTGTATCTGAGTTTTGGCCTACCCCTACTTCTACTTCCCACAGGTTGTGACATAAGGATTCTTCTGGGAGGGTTGTTCTGCTGTGATCTTGCCAGATGTCCTGCCCATTTTAGCCTTTCTATTGTTATGAGAGATACTACGTCTTTACCACCAAATATATGTTTATATCTGTGATATATCTCGTAGTTGTATCTTCTTCTCCAAACACCATTTTCACAGACTCCACCGAATATTCTTCTCATGATTCTTCGTTCAAATATAAGCAGGAGGAGGTTTTCATCTGCCTTGGAAATGGTCCATGTCTCCGATCCATATGTCAACACTGGTTGTATAAGGGTTTTGTATATAATTATTTTTGTTTTTTGTCTTAAGTTTCTGCTTCTCATAAAATTCTTCTCAGAGTTTTCAAAAACCGTATACAGGGTGAATTTTTTTTATAAACAAAATATGAGACACTTTTGACAGAAATTTTCTGGAAAAATTCACAATTCACCCTGTATATTATTAAACAATGTGATATGGGACACCTGAAGTAAAAGCCCGCGAAATGGTAATAGTTTTTAATTAGTAAAATTTTTATACAAATAAATGATACTTTTCTTATAAATACTTAAGCTTAATAACTTACTAAACATGTAGAAGCGATTTTTTGAAATAATTTGAAATCTGTATATATAAAAGGCTAGGACGACAACTCACACTGTTTGTCCGGGACGATAATTTCTAGCGCCACCTAGCAAATCAATCTGAACTACCAACTGACAGTTCAATCATATTTTTTTATTGAAATGATACAGTTGATTTATTGTTAATTCATTCTACAAACTGATGATTCAAATATCCTTACTCGGAAATTTTACTACTTCATCAATAATTAAGTTTTTCGAAAAATTGCTAAAAATATAGGTTATTGTAATTGTAAGGGAAGATTTTTATTAAGCAAAATATCTTTTGAGCGTTTTGTGGCGTGAATAGTTAGTCGGATCGTGACATATATACATTACCGGAAAGGAGACGGGATTGCGAATATGTTCGAGACAGAAAAAACACACATGGCGGCATTGCCAAAAGGTCATTACATCATATCTCCGTTGTTATATTTGGTCCGATTGGAGCGTGAGATGCATTAAATGAAAAAGATGATTTAACGGATTAATATATTAATATATTAAGATAGAAAAAACAAACAAGGCGACTACCAAAAGGGCACTACACAGTATCTTCATTATTAATAAACGTACAGAGACATATAAGATATCATAGTATACTATGGATAAAAATCGATTTACTATGAGACAAACATTAATTTATTAACTTAAAAAAGACCGAACACAAAATAAACAAATCGAATCCTAACATGCGACATACCAAATTAAAGGGGAAGATAAAAAACAAACAAGGCGACTACTAAAAGGGCACTACACAGCATCTTCGTTATTAATGAACCTATAGCGACAAACGAGATATCACATGACACTATATAATCCAGCATTCAATTCAATAAAATTGTTAAACTGGTTGAGTGGTGCTGGTGGTGTTATAAACGAACGATTCGAACTATAGTTTTATTCTATAGAGTGGAGAATAATGTTATAAAAAGTACAGTTCATAAACTGCATCTCCGACGGCTATTTAGGTGGAGATTTCCCAAGATAGTAGTAATAAAATAGTGCGAAAACAAATTTACTTAACAAACTTACTTACTTATCCGTGTCTATACACATCATATTCTTTGCCGTTTACCACATCCCAATTGCCATTTCTTTTTGTCATGTATATCTTCCTCAGTGAGGTCTCTTTTTTCCATTGCTGTTGTTTTTATTTGTGCGTTCCACTGTAATCATTTTTGTCTAAGGCGTTCATTTCTCACTTTGCCCATTAGTGTTAATCTTCTTCTCCAAAACATAATTTCCATTGTATTTATTTTATTTTCCTTTCTTGCGTTTGTCCCCTACGTCTCCGAGTTATACAATGAGGAGCTTTCCACTATTGTCTTGAAGATTAAGTGTTTTGTTATGCTTACAATATCGTCGCTCTATATAATCGAGTGTAATTGGCTCTTTCATTTCTTTATTGTATTTATTATATCCAATTCATCTGATCCTGTATTATGTAAAGTAACTTCCAAGTATGTATATTTATTTGTTTGCTTGATTTAGTTGTTATTTATCTCCAGGTATTCTGCGGTGTTTCCAATGACAATGAATTGCGTTTTATCATAATTAATTTCCAAACCCCAGCTTCTAAGTTCTTCTTCCAGCTTTTTTATTGTGTACACAATGTGATCTTAACCACATCAAAACAAACCAAATAGATAATTTATGCTGCGAGCATTGCTGACTTTCAATTTAAACCCAAAATACTATCAAAAAATTTAAGAAAAATGCTGTTTAAAATCTATAAATTGAGGAAACCAACAATTATAAACAATTTGGAATTAGAACTGACAGAAATATGTGCAAGCAAAAATCCATCACAAATCGAACATCCCGATGATTTAGACTTATATATTATGATTTTACAGAATACTAAATCTAAAAAGATAAGTAGATGATAAGAAATTAACAAAAAATATCAATATAATGAGTATTTTTCTTAATCATCCAAACTAATAGTTCTCAAGGTTGGTGTGAATGTCAACTGTTTATTTAAAAATTTAATTGTACTATTTTTTGTAATTTCCTTTGGCCTACTACTTTAATTGAAAAAATTTAGCAAACACTTTATGATTAATCTTATGACTTTCGTTATTAAAAACTAGTAGATTGTTTTGATTGAATTGCACTTAAAAAAAGTAGGTCAGTGTTTTTTATAATGTACCATTTAAAACAGTTCTAATTGACTAACTTTATTGATTTAGTTAAGAAATTCATAGTAAATGATTGGAGTAATTTCGGAAAGTTAGTATCTCACAAAAACTGAAAACTGCCATTCTGATCACATCGCATGTTGTTTCAGACAACATGTGTTATTAAAAACATTCAAACTCGAACATCAACATACATGTGAAAACTTTAGGTGTTGTTATTTTCTTTTCGCCCTATGTCAGTATCAAGCACCTAATGTCGATAACCAATTGCATGATCTTCTGCTATGTTCGTAATCATTGTGCTAACTCCGTACCATGGAACTAAATTGTGTCTTAGGGCCCCCACGCACCAAGCAGCCTGTTTGCGGCAGCCGACATATATAAGAGCCGCCAGTTATAGCAGCCAATCGACGACCAGTTGTGTCCGTTCTTTAATATGGAGTGAATATAGATATAAAGGGATATGGGCGTAAAGGAGACAAAGTTTGTCTTGTAAAAAACGTAAAATAAAGAAAAGACTGGTAAATCGCCCTCGCAAATGATATTGATAATTTCTTCCCATCCTCATTTTTTTCTTCTCCATCATTGTAATCTTCATATACGCCAAATCGTCTTTTCTTATCCCAAAAGGGATTTTAACTTCCCGAAATGATTTTTCGGTTTCAAATGTCGTTTTAAAAGCATTGGGGATAGGTCCGGCTCAAACGACAAGTGCGCGGAGACTTAAGATAGCCATATTCATGTCCCTTCAGAATCCTCACTCGCTTTGTCTGCGGGAAGCCACCGGGCTACCTCATGCCGGTGCTACAAACACGTTTTAGTTGGTGCCTCAGCCAGAGATTCTTGGCTGCCTAATGCGCGGGCACCCATAAACCGTAGGGTTTGAGTGGCTGCCTAGCGTGCGGGGACCTTTACAGAATTGTTTGCAATTGGCAACTTACTTCAGTCGCCAGAGACGAAACTACCACTGAGCATCTAAAAATTTTA